GCGCGAAAGAACAGAGCGTCACGCTGCTTCACGGCTCATCCAGAGGTAAACAATCATGACCGCCAACGAATGCCAGTCGCTCCCGGAGGATCAGCTTCATCTTCACCAGCATCACAGGAGCCATCATGAAGCTTCACTGACTGACAGCTGGGCTCATCACCCAGAATGTGTTGGAGCCGTAAAAAGGGCGTGGTCACTTCTTTGGTTCGCGTCCTCGGATTCTTTAAACTTTGCTTTCAGATGTTTATGAGTCTCAGCAGCGCGAAATTATGATGAATGTCGAGTTGGATTGACGTAAAAGTCACGTGAATTCGGATCTGGCTGTTGAGATGATTTACATTAATATACACAGAGCATATTTACAGTACAGACCTCATGAACTATGTGGGCAAACAAAAACAAACAAAATAATGTAGGATGGCCCTTTTTCATAAGAATTTTTGTCAGTAATTGTTTTGAAAGGCTCATCATTGAAGCCAGTGGGCAGGTGATTTCAGAGAAGCCGTTGGCTTTTGTTTTAAGTGTGTTTGGAGTTTCCTTTTGATAAGTATGCAGGGAAATGTGTCATTGTTGTGTGTGGAAATTGACTGTAGGCTCTAGATGCAGCAGATAGAGGTCGAAGATGCCGATATATGTTCTTGGCCTTGATTCAGATAAGATCTAAAAAACAAATCGTGATCCACACATCCTGTTGTATCACCTTTTGTCTGAAACGCTGCTTACGTGGCATTTAAAAACATTATTGCTTGCAGTGTGTAGCTGAATAACAGGCGTTGGGTCACACCCTGCAGTGGTGTTTCTTGTTTTGACAGCAGAAATCCTAATTCAGACCTTGCAAGCAGCTGCTGTCAGAGCGGTGTTTATCAGGTGAGTGGCTGCTGCGCTCGTGTCCGTCAAATGCACTGATGTAGCGAGGCTTTAAGATGGATACAACATGCACTTATCTGCTCAGCGGATGGAAGGAGAGAGCCGGAGAGATGAAATGATGACTGTTCCTGCAGTCGGATGCTTTTAAGATGAGAGGCTTCGCATTGCGCTTTGATTAGCAGGCAGGCAGCGAGCCAGGCTCACACAATAAGACTCGCTGTGCTGGAATGCCAAACTGCTCAATTGAAAGCTGGATTTCGAGGCGTCAGCTCTGTCCTGTCACAGCAATTTGTTTGTAATGTCTTTTGAGTTGGACTTCTGTGAAACAGGCAGTAATTAGTTTTAGGGTTGTCGTGATTTCTTGATTAAAAAAAGATGATAATTGAGTAAAATGTACCTTTTGTATAAGTGATAGTGATTATTTGGCAGATGGTATGACAATTAGGGGTGAGCAACATATGTTATCATTATCTTCATAAATTGCATCACATTTACATTTACAGCATTTAGCAGATGCTCTTATCCAGAGCGACTTGCAAAAAGTGCTTTGTTGTCTACTCAGAGAAAGTATCTTTGCTAGTTACTGATAGGTTAGAGAGAAAGCTAGTCCTGAGCTCAGCGTCAGCCCTATAATTAGGAGATCACGACATTGATCCCTGGTGATGCTACAGCCGTCCGTGGCCGTGGAAGGATGAGGCGGCAGAACGGCTTCAGAAAGTGTAACATACTGCAAACGCAGTGATGCAATTTTCTACAACCGCTGAGCAATTATTTCCAATTCATAGTAAGACCTGTTGAAGAAAAGCGTGTGTGGAATCACAGTCAGAATCAGGCTTTATTGGCCAGGTATGCTTACACATACAAGGAATTTGGTTTTGGTTACAGGAGCTCACAGTGCACAGTATCAGACAGACATTTACATGTAGTGAATAAAAAAAAAAGTAAAATAAAATAATATAAAATATATATAATTATATAAATAATATATTTAAATATTTTATAAATAAAATAAAACAAGTATTTGATTTTATTTTTTATTTTTATTCATCATTTTTGATCATTTGAGGGGCCATATCATCAAAAATGCAATTTCTCCCGTTATTGTTAAATAAACGAATTGGAAGTAATATGTAAACGTTGTTTCAGAACATACTCTCTTAAAAAAGATGGTTCGGAAGAAACACTTCACCATGCAAAGAACCTTTTGTGCACCAAAAAACAGTTCTTCTATTGATGCAGTCTTGACATTGTGAAAATAGAGAAATCCCCTTTGCTGCTGTGTAGAACCACATACAACACATTCTCCAGCATTCTGAAGAACCATTTCACATGCAAAGAACCATTAAAGCATGAAATGGTTCTATATAGAACTCATGGTTCTAATTAGAACCATGGTTTTTACTAAAGAACCCTTGAAGAACCATCTTTAAGAGTGTACTTTTGACTATCTAGTCCATACAGTCCATATATGGAAGCTGCAGAAACAGCTATTTTTCAGTTCACTGTTTCTGTGGTGTCTCATTTACATATCTTCACCTGTTCAGCCTTTAGCCCCGCCCACTCACACTGAAGTTCTAAGGAGAGTTTCAGCTCTGAGTGCGTTTTGAATGAAGCACATTACAGGGCAGCCAGTCAGTACAGAGCTAATTTACATATCAGTCTTAAAGGCACAGTGACAAAAATTGTAAGTGACAATGTGGGCTTGGAAAATGGTCATGTAAAAATGAACGATGACCTGCTTTTGGTGCAGAAAATGGCACAAATGTTATTAGTTGCGCTTGAGGGTAAAAAATAAAATGCAAGAAAAGTGTAGTACATAGGCCCTTTTAACATAATAGTATATATAAGACCCCTAAAGTAAACATTTTTTTTATTTTTGAAAGTGTATAGTTTCATCAAAAATGTATGGTAACTAAAACGCATTTCAGTTTTATCAGTTCTCCTGCACTGTTATTTGCTCTTCTACATTGCAGTCAAAGTTAAATTGTTTGACAGCCTTTTTTTACGATTTATTTTGAAATGTTTTTTTTTATCAGGGCTGTCAACATTAATGCGTTAACGCTCGTGATTAATCTGGAAACCTTGACGCGTTAATTTTTTTTTATGCAAATTAATCATACTACCAAGCTTGACCCCAACTTCCTCCCGTAATTCCCACACGGATTTACTGAAAGGCGCAAACATAGAAACAGGATGACTGAGGGAACATCTCCTGGTGTGCTGAACGGCAGGTTTCCTTTTAAAAATCTTCCAGATGGAAGTTTAGATAAAACTAAAGGTTCGTCTGGAACGGAACGACTAAAGCTACGTTCATATTACAAGCCTCATTTCTCAAATCCGATTTTTTTGCTCAAATCTGATCTCTGATACGGTGGTTCACACTCGTTTAGGTAAGTGATTCAAATCTGTCATTAATGTGACGAACCGGCGTCCTGAAATGAGCCGCATGAGCTCATCCTACTCAGTAACGTCACGTGAATGAATCACGTGATTCAACAGCACAAACTAACGAGCAGAACGAGCTTCGCTGAGAAGATCATTAACTCTGATCAGCTCTCAGCTTCATTATTAGAGCGAGACAAAGGAGAAAAAGGTGAGATGAGCTGCTTTTCCACCATTTACAGGGTTTAACTTCTGTTCGGTGCTGCTGCCATGGTAACGCTGAATGATGGCGCAGCGCAGTGGGGAAAAAAAGCACATGAATTCAGAAATGAGCGTCACATGAGCGTTACAGATACGTATCCGATCTAGGACCACATATGAAAGTGGGTAAGGTTGGATTTGAAAAGATCAGATTTGTGTCCACACAGCTCCAAAAACATCAGATCTGAGTCACATTAGGGCAAAAAATCGGATTTGTGCCACTTCAGCCTGGTAATGTGAACGTAGCCTAAAGGTCACCACTATAGGAACAGGTAGCGATCGCAGCAGCAAGGAATCCACCATTCGAGCGTATACCTTGTGCAGCGCACATGATACAGAGGGTCATCACAGCGGCTCTCTGTGGCAGCGGGTTTGTCGATGCTTTAGCCAGGTGAAGTAAAATAGTCAGACATTTCAAACACAGCAGAGATGAAAGTTCAGCCTCTCATGGTCAAGAAGAGGAGACCCTCGTCCAGGATGTGCCCACACGCTGTTATTCAACTCTCGAAATGATAAAGCGGGTCCAACACACCAAACACACTAAAGGCAACGCTGGCACAGCAGAAGCACAATTTAGCCACATCTTTTCACTGCCATACAATTCATACATTCTTTTCTTTTGTCTCCCCCCAAAATACAAGTAAATACTATTTAAACTTCACGATTGATCGCGATTAAGCACAACTTGTTAGTGTGATTAGTTCAATTATTTTTATTTAATTGATTGACACTACTAACTTTTATGTATTTAGGTTAGAAAAGTCATTGCAAACAACATAGAACTGTATAGAATGAATTGTGTTTTCCGTCAGTTTTTAGTCTTTTATAACAGCTGCTATAACACACCCCTCTGCAGTTAGTTACATTTACACGAGGTAAGTTGGAACAAGTGCAGTCGCTCTGCTTTGGGCTGTGCTGTTCACAAACGGTAGGTGCTCAAAACAAGGTTATACTTTTTCATTTGTAACACTGATGTGTAGCTTTTTTCATATAGGAATATTAATCTTGTGCAACTATTTGCACAATTTAAAATGATTTAAAATAAAATGTTCCCCTATAAGGAGGGCTGGGCAGTATGACAATAATTTTGTACGTTATATTGATAAATAATGTCGCAGAACGCTTTTCTGGGCAAATCATGGATGTTGTCTTTACTAAAAGAACACTGACTAAATATGTTTCATTACAAAGTGAGCATAATTAGGCTTGTTTAACTGGATTTAGTGCAGAGCAGTTTGTAAAACATTGAATAAAATCACTTAATTTACAGGTTTATTAATATTATTGTTATTAGTAGTAGTAGTAGTTAACACTACAGTATTTTTTTATTATTTAAAAAATAAGTAATTGTTGAAATGCTACTATGTGCTGTGAAAATGTCTTGAAGTGTCATGATATTATTTTTGTCATATCGCCCACCCCTACCTATTACTAAATTATAAACATCAGTACTTACTGACATTAACACTTGATCTTCTTTGCCCCCTCAGCTGGTGGAGACCTCCCTAAAGGGCGAGATTGCGTTCGACCCTCGCTGCGCCTACTACCTGTGGTTCGTCATGGACTTCTGCGACGGAGGAGACATGAACGCCTACCTGCTGTCGCGCAAACCCAGCCGCAAGACCAACACCAGCTTCATGCTGCAGCTGGGCAGCGCGCTGGCCTTCCTGCACCGCAACCAGATCATCCACAGAGACCTCAAACCCGACAACATCCTCATCTCCCAGTGCCGCACGCCGGCCGGCCTGTCCGAGCCCACGCTGAAGGTGGCTGACTTCGGCCTGAGCAAGGTCTGCTCCGCTTCCGGCCTCAATCCCGAGGAGCCGGCCAGCGTCAACAAGTGTTTCCTGTCCATGGCGTGCGGCACAGACTTTTACATGGCCCCCGAGGTGTGGGAGGGCCACTACACGGCCAAAGCGGACATCTTCGCTCTGGGTGTGATCATCTGGGCCATGGTGGAGAGGATCACCTTCGTGGACGTGGAGACGCAGAAGGAGCTGCTGGGAAGCTACGTGCAGCACGGCGAGGAGATCGTTCCGCTGGGCGAGGCCCTGCTGGAGAACCCCAAGATGGAGCTGCTCATTCCAGCGCGGAAGAAAAGCATGAACGCGGGAATGAAGCAGCTGATCAGGGAGATGCTGTCGGCTAATCCGCAGGAACGGCCGGACGCCTTTGAGCTGGAACTCAGACTGGTGCGCATCGCCTGCAGGGAACTGGACTGGGACACGTGAGGAGACCAGTGCCCAGCTGTGGATAGACAATTTCTTCCTTTTTATTTTGTCCTTTCTCCTTTATTTTCACACCACCGAACAAAACAAACACAGTTGGGTAACGTCATAAGATGTTCTGTTTCAAGTGAATTCTATATATGGTTGTCGTAACACATACAAGGTGAGTCAAAAGTCAGGAGTCACCAGATATCTGTGAGATGCTTAAAGGAGTGCCCAGTTTCATCCTTTACTCCACGGGAGTAGGTGATCGGCCAAGTTTGGTGTCTGAAGCTCGCTTCTCTGGTTTCGCACTGGAGCTACAAGGCTAATGTAATAAAGGTCTATTCACAATCACACCAAAACAGAGCCGAAAACGTCAAAACATTTAATTTATCCATTAATTCGATCTCCCTAACCGCCTGCCTAGCTGCGTTAAAGGTTGTGATAACTGTGAAAAAAAGAAAGTTCCCTTGCTCTTTTGAAATAAAGGTGCTTGAAATATTGCTTAAACATGTGTTTAAGTTTCCAAACCTTTCCAACCTTTTATTCTGTGGAAAAGGAGTTTCTGTGGTCTTTTCTTTAACTGTGGAGGCTCTCAAAGCAGCAATTATAGAGAATAATATAAGAATAATATAAGAGAATAATTATAAGAGAATAAACAACCATTTATTCTCCAGTTTATACAGTCTGTATATGAAAACTGTGCTTCAAAAACAGCCTGGTTTGAATTCATTGTATCCATAATATAACAAAAAACCAATTTACATATATCCACCTATTCAGCCTACAGCAGTTTAGCCCCATCCATTCATACTGAGGTACTAGGCAGTGTTTTCAGCTCTGAGTTCTTTCTGAATGAGGCACAGCCAATTAGAACAGAGCTCATTTATCTTATATCAGTATTAAAGACACAGTAACAAAAGTCTTGTTCAGTTCTAAGGAAAGAGAGGTTGGAAAATGGTGATGTAAAAATGAGTTATGACTGTTTTTGGTACATAAAACCACACAAATGTTATGAATGGACCTCAGAGGAAACTATAAGACGCAAGACGGGCCCTTTGTGTGAACGCAGCATCGTTATCTTGGGAATTTACAACAGTCAACATCGCTGCAAACCTTTTTTCCTGTCATTTTGCATGTTCTGATGTTCCGAGTCGTACACCTGAGGTAGAACGATACACATCAGCTTGATTTGTATTGAAATAATACAAGTAACCGCTGCTCTGAGAGCCTCCACTTAAAAAAGACCACAGAAACTCCTTTTCCACAGAATATGATGGAATATTTACTGACACGTTAATTGGCACAGAATTAGCGGTAATATAACCTGGAGTTATTTCTACGTTTTGGCTTTATAGCAGGAAAAAGATGCTGAAATCTTTATTGCACAGTAAATATGAATGACGAGGCAGGACTAAAGTCACTGACCCCACCTCCTCATGTAAAACTAATCCTGTCCACATAGTACACCCAGAAATGCTTTACCCACCACAGACGTCGATTTCTTGGCTACATTAGCCTCACAGCTCCAGTCCAAATCTAAAGACACCAGATGCTTTGGCTAATAAGCTGCATGTGGCGAGGAGAACATTGTGTAAATGTAAATTATGTATTAGACTAATAGGTAACCTGCAATATAGGCACACCTGTTGATCTAATCAGATCTTGTAGATATTTGAGTGGTTTCTGACTCCTGACTCACCCTGTATGTTTCTAATGGTTGTCCACAAGCACATAGCAATTGAGTGGCATGTAGGTCCTTACACAGTGAGGCTAGTTTACGGATTAAAGCTACATGCACATCCATGAATTTCTTTTGTCTGTGGACTAAGCCTCCACGCAGATCTGACCCCCAGGGGTCGAGCAAATCTCGCTGGCGTCCTTACGGCGAGAAGGCGCAGAGCACGGCGATTTTAATTGGGCACATCAAACGCCGCTTGGCAAAACAAACTCGTGACAGGTTTTCCCCTGATACTTCCAGCTTTTCTCTCTCGGGAACACCAATTTTGTCCTCTTTGACAGCCTGAGGTAGCTCGTCAATGTCTGCCTGCCTCACTCTCGGTGCTAATTTACCTTCTGATGCAATGCAAACCCAAAACCCGCACACAGGGAAAAGCATCCCGCTAGGATGCAGCTCATCCGTATGTCTCTTGCTCTGGCACGGCGGCGGCAGCGTTCAAACAGTTGTCTACTGAAGAATCGATATCTCTTACCTTCTGCACTACTTTCAACAAAACCTCAGGCTGGTATATTTGTACATCCAGATTTTACAGTATCTTAATGTTTCTCTTTTTCTACCAAATGCCTCCCGAACACAACAGAGAAAAAAAAAAAAATACCGTGAGCATAGTTTAGGAAGCGTGTTTGTCTGGCGTGCTGTTGCAGAGCAGATAAACTTTGATATGAGCTCGTTTCTTGTCTTTAAACCTAGGACCTGTGCTTTATCAGCAAGGGGGGGGTGGAAGGAAAGTCTAGCAGAGCATTGATACAGATTTAGGGTTGCTGTTGAGGCCTTTGCCCTCTGGACGCTGTTTGGAGAGGTACAGACGCATGCCAAAGTTGACCACCGGTCAAACGACGTGTTTTGTGGATTTTTTAAGTGAAATTGTTACACCTTCTACAGGGAAAAAGCTTTAAATCTGGCATTTGCCCGCAAATTTTAATGCACCATTTTAATTTATCACGTGCATTTAACAAATAATAGAATAGAAACAACCATAAAACAGTAAATCCGACATAAATTTAGCAGAGGGCACATTTTTAATTAAACTGTGCAGAAGTGAGTTCTCTGTAGAAGATCTGTAGACGTCAACAAAACAGGTAATTTGATCAGGTGTGCTCAATAGTTTGCATACGGCTGTGTATTTGCACATACACACCGACGGGTGCCAAATTGAAGGAAAGCCTTACATAATGTGTTAATGAGTGGAGAAACATAACAAGATGCTTCCAGACAGGTGTATGCAGGATCTAATTAAGCAGTTAACATCAGACAGCACTCAGGTATGAAAAGGCTGAGCTGGACAAGCCGTCCTCAATTTTATAACGAGGAAAAGATCTAAACGACTTTGAAAGAGGGTTCATTATTGACAGGACCTTCAGTCACAAAGACTGCTCACCTGCCTAGTGTGATATACATCAGTAAACAGGGCTGAAAATTGTGGTTAAAAGTGCACATTCAGTGAGTGAGTGATGCTCGTGCATTAGTGTGATACGCAAGAGCAGATGTTCCTCAGCTGACTGAGAACGTTAGTGCAGGCCGTCAGCAAGAACTGCACAGAGAGGGATATTATAGCAGAGCTGCAGTGCATAAACCCCTCATTACAAAGACCAGTGACCATCTGAGAGGTCAGTGGTGTAAAAACAAGCAGCACTGCTTTACAGAGGTGTGTGTGGGGGGGTGTTTTGCGTGTTCACAACTAGGTGTAGGGTGTCCTGATTCTTGTTGAGATAGAGGGGGAGGGTGAAGTGTTGGGGCTACATGACCCTCCAAATGGAGGTTTTTCAGAGACTCCAAACAGAGAGTTATGAGAAAAAAAGAGAAACTGGCAAGATGGAGAACAAGAGACCAAAGAAACCCAAATGTGAGAATTTTCTCCATTAAATAATTACGATAATCATAGTTTTATCTTAGTTTAATCAAAATTTGAACAAGAAGCTGGTGAATATCTAACTTCAGCTTCATATCACTGAATATCACCCTCTTTGAAGGCATATGATGCCCTAAATGTAACTAAAGCCCAGCAGTGAGGAGCTGAACTTTACCCTCCTCTGCTATCACTGAAGACTGGCAGGGTCGCCTACAGGATGGCAGTGGCCCCATTCACAGGGCACAAGGGGTCACTGAATGGTTTGATGAGTATGAAAATGATGTAAATCATACGCTATGGCCTTTAGTCACCAGATCTCAGTCCAGTTGAACACCTATGGAAGATTTTGGACCATGTTCTCCACCACCATCATTAAATAACCAGTTGAGGGAATTAAAATCCTGTAATTTGCCGCCCGTCTGTAGTTCATGTTAGACCAGCAGGTGTGGTTGTCTCCTCAGCTCTCCATGGCTCTGATCCAGCAGCTCTAAAGCTTATGTGATTTACTGACTGAGAAATAACCCAAACATGGAGATCCGAATGCGGCCCTCAAAGGAAAGAATTAGCCTAATTAGATTTACTCTCTTCTCTCTGGAATGTGCACAGGACCTCATGAGAGGGAACGAGGTAACAAGCTGCTGAATGAGGTTCTTTTTTGCCTAAAACTTTGAGTTGTTCTGACGTCTTTGCTGCTTTGTTGAATGTTAAAATTTGATTTTGCTAACTTGGAAGGTCTGTCTGAATTACCTCAACCGAGCTGACATTCATTTGAGTTGACGGCAGTAGGGGTGGGCGATACGATGGTCATCACGATATTTGTTTCTGAAGAGATCACCGGTGTTGTCAGTAAACAATACTGACCAACTGCCTAATATTTTAGAGAATTTTTAAAGAAGAATCAGAATTTCTCCATAATCACATCAAGATGTAAACAGTTGTTCAGAGTGGTTTGGTGTGAAATGCTCTGTTCTAGAGTCAGAATTGTTCACGGTGGTGGTGATAGGAACCAGACGTCCACCTCTAAAAGCTCCCTCACAGAAAGTTACTACAGGAAATGGTTATGAATTCACTGTCCGGCGTTTTATGGTAGTTTTGACTTAAAGTTTAATGCGGAAGTGTGCTTTTTCCAGTTAATTAACGGTGGAAGGATACATACAGGGTGTAAACTAGTCCGCAATGAACTTATAAAAAACTTTTTAAAACGTTTTTCCGATTTATCACTATTTTACCAATACCCCTGGCTCCTCTTACATCATTATAAAGAAATCTGAATTGATACATTTCTCTAGAACAGAGCATTTCACATTAAACTCTCAATGACTTTATTTACATCTCAGTTTTGCAGAAATTTTGAAAAATTGCTGGAATTCCCCCTTTGAATGGGGCATGGAAAGTGGCTTAGCCATCTGGGTTTTAGATAAGGATATGACGTTGAATCCTGATGATGCCAGGAGCATAATTGGTAGGGCTGGGACCATTTCTCAATTCATTGATAATTGTATATCACGTAGAATTTATCAGGTTTCCGGTCCATTTTGTATGCAGGTGCATTGTGCACACGGGGCCATCATTTAAAATGTCCAGTTCATGGTTTTACGTCATTTACACGCACAGCAGTGATTGTCACATTGATTAAGGACAGTTTTAATGTTTATCTGTCGTCAGGTCTTTTTAAACGGAGGCATTTTTTTCTTTTTAGAGATGTAACGCACTGAAACCTTCACATCAAGTCCAGTATGCTCATTTAACACTGAGAATTCAGGAAGAAGAAATTGATTTATCAAGCAGTAACAGCAACAGAGTGATTATTTTTCTTTCAGGCAGTTTGACTCAGACACTAGGTAACGGCCCATTCTGCTAAGTTTCATTTATTTATTTATTTTTGAAAAACACTGTGAAATGGGCTGTGTTGCCCCCTATGGCACAAAAAGAAACTGTCCTACATATACACAGTATGTAACTGTAAAATGCCTGTGTTATTACTAATATTTATTGATAATTTGCCTCAATCGATTATTGTCCCAGCCCTAATAATTGATGCTGTTTAATGGAATACTGTTGCGTATGGAAGCCCTAAAGGGCCACGGATTCATAATTTTGTACTCCATTTTACCCTGATAATGATTTGTTTTCTCAAGATCTCATGATATCTATGTCATTATCACACTAAACTGGGCATTGCATTATCGAGATAACATTCGTTGTGTTGAGATCTCAGGAAAACAAATTTTTGTAGCCTTTTTTAAAATTGGTGATGCTGTTCTGTTGCCACAGAAACTGAATATTGTAATGTGTATCGTTAAAATCTCTACAGATATCGTGATATTACTATTTGCCTAAATTGCCCACCCCTATACAGCCCCCACCCCCCACCCCCCACTGTGACTGCCATATTATTCAGCACGTTTAAACGTTTAAAGTCTAACCTGTCCAGCCTCACTGACTCCTCACATGTTCTGCAACAGTCCTGCCTACAAACTGAGTGATGTGGCGATGCCTTCAGGGAACATCCGAGCAGCAAAGAGAGAGAGAGAGAGCGGTCAACACCAGCACCCCCGTACAGCTTCACGCTGTGTGGGATGTTTATTTATACGTTACTGAAAGCCTCTGAGAGCCTCCGTGAGCCAGGGACCTGACGTTTTGACACCTCGCAGAGGTGCACTTGATCTCACTGTGTCTGTTTGCCTGGATTTTCTTAAAAGTGCTGAATCTTAGCAGTAATCCCCCTCGCCGCCCACCGCCGCCACGCTCCTGACAGACTAACACTAAGCCTGTTAAGTTGTCGCAGCACTTGGTGAAGAGAGACGGCTTTGGGGACTGAAAAATGGCATTCAGGTCAGCATTTTGTACCTTTTTAATTGAGAAAAACTAACATCTCACAGCAGCAATACGTCTGGTCCCTGCTCCCTTTTCAGCCTGATCTCGATTAGCTGCGGACATTCAGCTACCAGTATGGATGCGACTGCCCATTGACTTCTGTTGTAAGATGTGTTGAACGTACTGTTTCTGGAAACTCGCAGCAGATCGAGATCAAGCTGAAAAACTGAGTGGAAAGCATAAATAATATTTAATGCTGTTTGGAGCAGTTCAGGGTTCTACCCTTTCTAGCAGTGTACATATTTTTTGGAACCAGCAAACGTGTAATACTGAGAACCCGGCTCAATACAACCCACATAATTTTTTCTTTTTTGTTTAATTTTTTTAAATTTTATTTTATTCCTTCGAGGATTCTCTCATGTGGGATCATCCATTAATCCACATTATCACAAGAACAAATGCTGAGTGGATTATTTCCACAGTGCCGGCGCTGATTCCGGATCACCAGAATATTCTTTAATCTGCCTTTTCTTTGAGATTACCATAATTTAAGCCTTATTTTTAAAACCCCGCTGCCCCTCTTAGCACTTACTGTGACGGAATGTGCTCTGAAACAATGGCCTAAGGAAAAGAATGATGTTTAAAAGTGCTGAAAGGGAATTTTGCTTTTGCCTGATCCAGCTTTGTAGCAGGTGTGATGCCTTTGTTTGACGGTGTTGTAGTTTATCAGTATTAAAAAGTGCACAAAATATGGATACTAAACTGACCATTACATACATGCTTAAAGGGCCCATACCATGAAAAATCCTGTTTTTTTTTTTTGTTTTGTTTTTTTTTTCTTTATGTAAAATGTAAACAGAAGTTATAAAATCTACCATTCAGTCCTTTGAGTCCATACAGGCTCTTAATGGAACCTAAGCTGCAAAAACAGGCTGTTTTGAATCCATTGTTTTTGTGATGTCACAAAAACCAACACAGTTACATGTCTACAGTGGTTTAGTCCCGCCCATTCATGCTGAAGTTATAAGCATTTCAACTTGGACTGCTTTTTTCATGAATTAGGCACAGTAGAAGCCAGCCAATCAGAACAGAGGTCATTTACATACATTTACATTAAAGGGCCCACCTCACTAAAAAACAAATACCTTTGTTTTTTTTGATGTATGTAGAATAAACACTTTTAATAAAGTTAAAAAAACAAACAAACGTTCACTCCGCACTCCATAATGATTGATAAGTATATGTAAACAGCTGCAACAAAACAGCTTATTTTGAATTCACTGTTTTTGTGATGTCACAAAAAAAAACACATTTACGTGTCTACATCAGTTTAGTCCCGTCCTTTCACGCTGAAGTTATGAGCACTTCTATCTGGACTGCTTTTTGTTGAATGAGGCACGGTAGACGGCAGCCAATCAGAAGAGAGGTCATTTACATATATGTCTTAAAGGGCCCACATCACTGAAAAACATTTTTTTTTTGATGTATGTGCAATAAATACTTTATTAAAGTTTAAAAAAAGAACCTTCGCTCCACACTAATGGTCAATATATGTAAACAGCTGCAAAACATTATTTTGCATTCACTGTTTTTGTGATGTCACAAAAATGAACACCTTTACATGTCAGTGTACAGCAGTTAAGCCATGCCCGTTCACTCTAAAGTGAAGAGTGTTTCAGCCTGGACTGTTTTTTTGCTGAATGGGGCGAAATAGATGACAGCCAATCAGAACAGAGGTCATTTACATACATTTACATTAAAGGGCTCACATCACTGAAAAAAATCCTTGTGTTATATTGCATTTTTTTTTAAATAATACTGACATTTCAAAAAATTCATAACAGTCAGTAATAAATGGAAACAACTGCAAAAATGAACAGCTTTACATGTCAGCATACAGCAGTTAAGCCGTGCCCATTCACCCTGGCTTAAGGAGTGTGTCAGCCTGGACTGCCTTATGAATGAGGGATGGTGCAAAGCAGCC